CACATTTTTTGAATGGCAGAGCTCGAACTCAGACTGGGCTGCAGGGCTAAGCAGACAGTATTAAAGCTCAAGTATTTCCACCAGGCCACAGAGCCTGCTGTAAGATTCTGCTTAGCAAGTGTTTATGGAAATCATACATAATAGGATAAGATATATACACAGGATTAAGTAAGCACTTCTATGTGAAATTTTCATTACCACGTGGAGGTGAGAATTAGCAAATCGTGTGGTGTGATTTGTGGCCTGGAACTTGTGGTTAAATCAGGCCATGGCTTTGGTGAGACGTGTTTCTCCCCTGTCTGCAGGGCCCACTGGGGTCTAAGCTTCCATCGGTCTCTCACCTGGGCTGCACTGCAGCAGCTTCCTGAATGGCCTCTCTTCATTCTTGCTGCCCCCCCAGTTCTCCACCGACTGTTCTACCTTGCTTGGAAGGATTTGGCACATGGGGTATGCAGGGTGAGAGGGATTGAGCAATGAAATAATTATCCTAAGATTTTGAGCTCCAGAGAACAATGTAGTGGTGGTCGAGTGGGTAGCAACAGAGCAATATGAAAGGAGTACCAACCACTTTTAGGAGGAGTCATTATCTTTTTGAATTTTTAACATATTAGAACTCAAATGAAATCAGTGTATATGTAAAATATATGAAAAGAATTACATACAATGGCCAAGTTGGGTCTATTCCATGTGTGCAAAGCTGGCTCAACACTTGAAAACCAGTTGATGTAATCAGCCATATCAACAGGCTAAAGAAAATGCGAGTGGAATAGTTAAGGGATTGGTGAGAACCTAAGTGATGTTTGAGATCCCCATGACCTACAGAATGGAACTACAAAATAAGCTGAGAGAGCAGCTTTATAAGCACATCATGTAACCTAAATCGCTTATCAGCCATTGGAGGCTTTCCATTATCTAGACTCACCTTCCCTGTCTAAGCTTAATGTTGACCCTTTCCAACGTGAAACCCTTCTGCAGCCAGATTAGTTTCTTCAATGCCCTTCCACTGTGTTGAACTCATTTCAGAATGAGACTACCTGAGTACAAATTTTGGCCCCTGTCATCCTGTCATTAACTAGCTTTTACTGTGACTTTGGGCAAAGTGCTTCAGTTTTTCTGTCTGTTGAAGTAGGATTATAATCATAATTTTCTGTTACCTGGAGGTATAATGAAATGCCTATCCTATCATATTTGCATCCTTCTTGAAACTCTGATAGCTCAGAAGTGATGCTGAATTGACTCAGCAGCAGTGAGGATGAGAATAGGGAAGGGAGAGTTTTAAGAACAGGTGTGATTAGTTTGGTGGAGATTCCAAGTTAAAAAGGAATGAATAACACTTCAATAAAAAGTTCACTTGAAAAAATAAACACTGAGACTATCTAAAACATACAAAAAACTCTTAAAACTCAACAGTGGGACATACAGAAGGTAAATAAGCATATGAAAAGCTCAACATCACATGTTGTTAGGGAATTGCAATATTAAAACAACAATTAAATAACTACTACATACCTGTTAGAATGGCTAAAATCCAAAACATCTGTGGCATGAAATACTGGGGATTTGGGACAGTAGGGATCTGTCATTCATTCCTCCTGGGAGTACAGAATGGTACAGTCATTTAGAAGACAGTTCAGCAGTTTCTCATAAAGCAAAATAAATCTAAACTTACATTGTGATCCAGCCCAGATATTTATTCAAAAGAGCTGGTAATTTATATCCATACAAAAACCTGAACACATGTTTCTAGTAGCTTTATTCATAATTGCTCAGAATTGGGACCAATTAATATGTTCTTCAATGGGTGAACAGATAAACAAATTGTGGTATTTCCATACAGTAGAATATTACTCAGCACTAATAAAGAAATGAGCTAGGGAGCCACAAACAGATGTGGAGGTAACTTAATTGCATGCTAAGTGAAAGAAGCCCCAGTCTGAAAAAAGGCTACATACTGCATAGGCCAACTGTAACATTCTGGAAACAGCAAAACTATAGAGACAAGTAAAAAGTTTTTGCCAGGGGTTCAGGTGGAGGGGATAAGGGATGAGTAGGTGAAGCACAGGGCATTTCTAGGACAGGGGAACTGTTTTGTGTGGTACTGTAATGCATCTCATATATTTGTCAAAACCCATAGATGTGTACACACACACACACACACACACACACACACACACACGAACCCTATTGTAAACTGTAGACCTTAGTTAATAATGTATCAATGTTGGTCATTTGTAACAAACATGTCATTAATATCAGATGCTAATAGAGGAAACTGGGTGTAGGAGGAAGAGGGTGTAGGGGAAATCCTCCTTTCTGGACAATTTTTTTGTAAACCTAAACATGCCTTGAAAAGCAAAGCATTCGTTTTTAAAAGGCAGAGCCTTTTGACATTGGAGGCCTGCTTATAATAATCTGGTTCTTACACCTTTTTGAAATACACTCAACTATGAAATTATTATTTTTTTGTACTAGTCAAAATAAAAATCACCACCATCAATTTAAAAAGAATGAGAAAAATACCTTTTTAATGCCGTATTTTGCCAGAGAAAATTTATGGGTCATCTGCATATTAGTGGTGTGTGCCGGAGTCATAGGAGGGAACTCCTGAGCCATTTAAGATGGAGTTGCATCAATTTTGGTCATTGGCCTTTGAAGGCAGTGCATTCTAGCTTGTAGCAGCCAGTGGGTAGGTGCCACCTACATGGACCTGCTGTAACCCCTGGACTTGTTTTTTTCTATCACAACTTATCTGTTTCTCCAGGCTACGAAGTTCTTGTTTGCTTCGGAATGTGTTCAGTGAATTTAAAAATAATTTCTGGGCCCAATAATAAATGTAGAAAGCACTGCCACTGGGGAAGCGCTGGAGAATCCTTTTGAAGACTGAGGAGTCATTTGCTTTAAAATATGTAATCCTTCTACCCCAGTTTATTTTATAGCAGGTTCATATTTCAGCTAAAGTAATGAAAGCCATGCTAATCTTTACACACTTATGTTTAATGGCTGCATTAAAGATTTATGAGAAGAATTAGTGTTCAAATGTTCAGAATGCTATACTGATTTAGTAACATCTCTGTCTTCTGCCTGAATTTTGTTTTGTGTTTGATGGTAACATGTTAAAACCTCACTTTAGCAAAGTTTTATTTTTATTTTATACATTTTTTACTCTCACAGTTTATCAGATTTGCACTGTATAAAAAACTCTGGCAAATATACTTCATTACAATTTTGAAATCTGTTTATTAATCAGCTTTTGTTGCTACTGTGTACTCACTTGAACTTGACACGTTATTCTGGGTGATTTAAAATAATGTCATTTTGTGTTTGCTTGACTAACAAAGGCATAGGTTAGTAACAGCTGACCTAGTTAGTAGGCAGATAAATGGGCAGAGAAAAACTTTGAAAAATAAGGAATAAATATATGCAGGAATATATCTTTTGTGGTTTGTAGGTAATAATCTAGTATCTAATTAATTTTGCTCATTTAACAGACTTTAATCAACTAAATGTGACATTGTTTTAGTGTCCTGAGTTTTTCCACTTTATTTTCATTTCATTCTAATTATTTACGTGAGTGGAATCATTGATGGCCAGAGTAGTTGCGATGTGCCCCAGACCACAGTGATAGCATTTCCAGTCTGTATCAGTTACTGTCTCTGTGTTTTGTGTAACCTTGTGGTGAAACTACTGGTGTAGCTTTTCTTTAATGTAACATCACATACTTAATCATTTAATTTGTGATTGGCTTTCCAGAGTAATGACATAAGGTAGAAATTGAATAGTTTTATTATTAAAATTATTACTGTATAAATATTTATTTTGGTAATTGACTGTGGTAAAAAATGTACACATGCCAGAACACTTGTGTTTATAATGCCGAAGGCATTCTTAGATTAATAAGTAGAGTATCTTTATATTATACTTAGTTCATATGTACTTAAGTGTACATTATTTTTCACATTTACTGACTGCTGTTGGAAAGTAAAAATATTTTGGAATAAATATATAAATATGTGAATTAGAAATTTTATGTTAACGATGTTCAAGTGCAGAAGAAGAGTTTAAATTCAATTCAAAGATTTATGATGGTTTTCTTCACACATAGGATTATTTTTAAGTTTGATATTTGCAAATCAGGTACAGCTTATATTTCTACAGAATGGACTACCTCTGATTTCATGTTTCAGAGCATTTGGCATCATGTTAGACCTGTACTTTCAAGATATTGAGTGGTTTAAAGGCTGTTTATTCTTAATAAACACACATGTACTAGTCTGACATTTCCTAATTTATGATGAACATTTTTCCCTTTTGATTTCCCAATGTTAAATGTTAAACCAGAAATCTAGTTTTATTTTTGATGCTGCAGTAGTTAAAAAATGAGAAAAGTATACAGTTACCATTTTGACAGATGGAAAGCAGGTTTAAATTGAGAGATGTAACAGTATCACTAGACACATGGGAATTCTTTTGTCCTGAATGATCCTTTTAAAAAACTGCATAATTTTAATTTGGACATTGGTCTTCTTTTGATAAACTTAACCTTGAAAACATTTGAAGGTAGTTATCAGAAATTTAGTTATATTTTAGATCCCCTTCCTCATTTGTAGAGGTAAGAAGAGCACTGTAGCATAAACTGCTTCATTTTTCTCTTATTAAACTGCTTTTGGTTAAGGGAGATTTTTAAAAAACACTTAAAACACACCATATTATTGTCTGAGTTTGAAATGATTCCATGTGAAAAGTTATCAGTGCACTGTTGAATAATTAGTCAAGAGATTTACTTTGCATACAGTTGGTATGTGTGCCTGTAATTTTATTTAAAGCAGCAGTCCAAATTTTCTTTCCTACCAGTTTATACTTCCCTGAGCAAAATGCTGGTACACTATAAATGTTTGTATTTAGTAACTAATAAAAAAGGTTTGTATAAATATTGCTCAAAAAGATGACTTATACAGATAGTAGTTCATGTGGTTTATTATTAATTGTGTTTCATTTTATAGAGGGCCACTGAGCCAGGCCAGGCTGTATGCCATTGCTGCTGAGAAAAAGAATTATCTTGCAGAGGAGTCCACTTCTTCCCCAAGAAGGAATGCCAGTCAGTTTGATTGGGCTCTGATGAGGCTGGATAATTCCGTCCGCAGAACTGGCCGCATCCCAAGGACTCTCCTACAGAAAGTCTTTGACAACGCCTGTCACTCAGGTATCTCAGACTTCTCTGGTCAACAGTTTGAACTTTTACTAAGTACTTGTTTGGGGCAGGCTCTTTGGTACTTTCAGTTTTGTTATGGCTAGTGATCATGATTTAATGTTATGATTGTAATCTTTCCAACTCATCAGGGTAAAGGTTTGAGTAAGACATTTTATCTCATGTTTATTTCAAAATCAAATAAAAATCAGTGTGACTCACACTGATGTGAGTGTGAGCCACACTCACATGTGGCTCATTCAGTCACACTGGGGAGCTGAGTCCGCATTGTGAAGTCTGATGAGGGATACCGGACAAGTGTCAGTTATAGTTAATGTGCATTAAAATAATGCTTTTCATTTTCTCTGTTTGGTTTATTCATAGCTGTCCCACTATTACCACAATCCATTTCAGAACATTTCTTTCACCCCGAAAAGAAACCTCCATATTCCCATCAGCCCCAAACCCTCCCATCCCTTCCCACCCTAGGCAACCACTAGTGTACCTACTATTCATATAGATGTGTTTATTCTGGATACTTTATGAAATGGAATCATATAGTCAGTGGTTTATTTTTGTTTTTGTTTTAAAGTCAGCTTTCAGGGACATTTCAATGAAGGACTTGGCTAAGGGTAAAGGAAGCTTATATTTTGTAATTTTTTTATAGGCCTAAAATTGATATTCATGGCTATTAATCATACTACTTTGTGTAATTTCATGAGATAGTGAGAAATAGCCACTGAATTGCAGTAAGTACTGCTTATAAGTTAGGTTCTGTGTATTTTTGTAGTCTGTAGTCTTGCAAATTATATACATTCATAACTTTAGCTGCCTTAAGAAATCAGACTAATTTTTTAAAACTTAGAACTTTTTGTAACATTGTAAATTATACTTGTGGATTAGGATAGAATTTCCCCAGTTACAGGTAGTCTCTAAATAATATCTTCAAGGAATCAAGAGATTTTTGAATATTTACAGATTCCAGTTTAAAATTTGGTATTTACAATGTGATATTGTACTATGTTAAGTGTTACCCATTAATCTTCTTTTCACAGGTTGCCCAGGCGGTAACCATGCCTTGCTTCTGCTGCGTAGCTGCGGCTCTCTCTTACCCGAACTGAAGTTCTCCGAGAGGACAGAGTTGGTTCATAGGATATGGGACAAACTTCAGAAACTGGGTATGATTATTTGAATATGAGATGTGTGTAAAGGGTGTAGATTTTTTCCCCTTTAGTTAAAAAAATATATACATAAAAGCTATAATTTTATGGAAGGGCTACTTGATTCATAATTTTTTTTGAAATAAGATTTATTTGGTGAGTTATAGCGACATCTAGGGGCATTAAGATAAAACAATTTTTCATAACAGCATTACTTTTTTGGTAAGCTAAAAAGCAAAAGAACAAACTGAAAAGGCCTTTGGTTTGTCAAAGTTATCAGTGCACTTACTGTTAGACTAAACAGTTCCACCTGTTAGAATTTAGATGCAGATATTTTCACGTTTGGGGAAGGATATTCTTCATTGTAGCTTGTTTGTAATAGTAGGAAATTGGAACCAATTTTAATGTCCCTTACTGGGGGATTGGTTAAATAAATTATGGAGTGTCCATAAAATGGAATATTGTGCAACTGCTAAAAAATTGAAGGAGTGCTTAAGATACTAATGTGGGGTGTTGTCCAAAATATAAATAAAAATTGAGGTGCAGAACACTGTGTATAATGTGCTGTCATTTTGAAGAAAAATGTTTATAAGTTTATGTGTGTACAGTATTAAAATATTTCTGGAAGAATGATCAACACTAGATACAATTTTTACTGTATACCTTTTTATACTTTTTCTTTAAAAAAGATTTTCTTTATTTATTTTTAGAGAGAGGGGAAGGGAGGTAGAAAGAGGGAGAGAAACATCAATATGTAGTTGCCCCTCACATACTCCCTAATGGGGACCTGGCCTGATATGCAGGCATGTGCCCTGACTGGGAATCAAACCCATTACCCTTTGATTTGCAGGCTGGCACTCAGTCCACTGAGCCACACCAGCCAGGGGCCTTTTTATACTTTTTCAATTCTGAACTGGAAACATAATACCTATTCAGAAAATAAAGTAGCTCAAAAGACCATTTGATAAAATTCAGTGTTCATTACTGACTTTAAAAATTTAAAAGAATAGATGGATGTTTCTTTCACATGTGAAAACCTAAAGCCAACAACTAGTACTATGTATAATAACAATGAAATATTGATAAGATGTGAAAAAAATACTAGAAATTATTATTTTTTAGCTGATGTGCTTGTTTACCTGTAAATTAATCTATAGTAAAGTAGTTGGAAATATTAAGTTGTTAAGAAGCCATAACTTTTCCTACTTAGAAACTTAAGTGGATAAAAATATTCAAATGTAGTCACATATATAAAATATCTAGGCATATCTTTCAAGAAATATGTAGCACTTGGAAACAGAATAAAGACAGCCTCACGTCAAAGTTTTGAATTCATTTAGAACTATGTTGACAAGTCCTGGCTGGTGTGGCTCAGTGGTTGAGTGCTGGCCTGAGAATCAGGGTCGCTGGTTCTATTCCCAGTCGAGGGCATATGCCTGGGTTGTGGGCCAAGTCCCCAGTAGGAGGCACACGAGAGGTAACCACACACTGATGTTTCTCTCCCTCTCTTTCTCTCTCCCTTCCGCTCACTAAAAAATAAAATAAATAAAATCTTTAAAAAAATTATGTTGACAAGTTCAATTTTTAAAAGTTTTAAAAACAGATGAGATAAATGTATTTTGTAATGGAAAAGGGTTTTCTAAATGTAAAAGCAACAGAAAAGTAAAGGTAAAGAATTGACTGTAAAAGCTAGAAATGTCTATTTATCAGTAAGTCACATAATTTTAAAAAATCGTTGAACTGAGAGAAATATTTGTGAAAAAAGTTACGTTCTAAAATATAAAGAAGCCCTTACACAGCAGTCATACTGTTAACACATCAGTAGAAAGGTGGACACATTGCTTTCTATTGTACTTGTTCACAAAGGTGTCTTTCCTCCATATCCCATTTGAGAGTGGAATCTGTAACATCTTTGTTTTCCTCTTTGCCATGATGCTTTCCTCTTGTGCATCACACTTGATAAATACTCATGGAGTCAGTACTGCCAGAAGCCTAGTAGATTGCCAGCGTGACTCTTGCCCACAGACTTGTGAAGCTGTAAGGGCTGGTTTAGCTTAGGTAATGTGTCCAAAGTTACAGGATGAGCTGCTGGCAGGTCTAATACTGGAACTGAGATCTTCAAACTAAAAGCGATTCTGGAGGAAACAGCAGAAGTGATAGTTTCTCATTTTGGTGTTTCCATATGCTCAATTTTTAAAAATAGAATTACTTCTGGTGTACCTCTGTGGCCACGCCATGATAATATAATAAGTCTCCTTAAATTTTTTGTTTAAGTTGTTCATCTTTTCTGGAATGGTCTTTACTTTTTACTCTTTAAATCAATCCATTTTTCAAACTAAGGTTTAAATCCCTTCATTCTAGAGTTTTACCTCCAGTCTAAATTAGAAAGGACCCGTGAAATTAGCTAGATAGAATAGCAAACATGGGGATACAAATTTTACCAAGTTCTCAGAAGCATTTTTGTCATCTACAACACTATGTCAGTGTAGGAGAAATAAGGAAATGAAACTCCATAGAATTACATTGAGTAATAATCTTGACTAAAACCTATATGAAAAGCTAGAATAGATGTTCATCTGGGTTTTGAGCAAGTTTCCCCAGCCTCTCCAAAAAACTTGAGTAAATACCTTTACAAAATTATAGAATATGATTTTCTTCAGCCATAGAGTTGTAGCCAGCCATTGTGAGAGTTCTTCAGCTTGACTTCATGGCTTTTTAGAAGTTTTTAGACACCGTGTGGTAACCTTGTTGCATGATCACACTGCAGATGTTGAATGGCACGTGGTTCTCTGTCAGGCTCTGTAGAAAGTGTTATGGTGGATAAGGGACTGGGCTCTCAAGACATCACCTACGTTCAGATTTATCGTCACTTAACTAGCCATGTGGCCTTAGACAAATAAAAGTCAGTTTTCTTCATCTGTAAGATTGGGACAGTAATCGTGCCCGCCTCAGAGCTGTTGCGAAGAGTAGCCTCTGTGTGCAGAGCACTTAGCACAGCGCCTGAAACATAGTAAGTACTGTACATGTCTACTAAGATAAAGAACAAATACTAATGTAATGGAGTAGGTCTCTGCTGCCTGGAATATCAAACTGATACCAGATAACTGGCCACAGGCATGTGAATATATGAAAGATACAAAATTTAATTCGTGAAAATTTAGTAAAACATGTTAGCACCAGATTGATAAGACGACCATGATGTCGTGAGTGGGTAGAGTAAGGCTGAGTGGCAGCCCTAACCTATGTGGCCTTAGGCACAATGGACACAGGGAGAAAATGAAGGGCATTGGCGTGCAGGTGATAAACAGTAGCAGACTGGAAACGTGTTTAGCAACTGAGAGTGGAGTGCAGGTGGAACCTAAAAAGACTCTGAGTGGCCTGGTTAGTAAACGAGCGTAACCACCAGCACAGCCCCGCCTGTGTAAAACAGCTACCTTCACCGTCTGTCCCTCTCAGTGTGCCTGGCATGTGGCAGGCTCTGCTTTAGGTGGAAAACTCATGCAGTCACCTTAACTACAGAGGTGATGTCAGCATTTTCTAACAGGAGGGGAATACGGTGCTTCAAAAGTAAGAGACCTCTTTGTATCTGAAAACGCAGTTACTTACAGCTGTACGTGACTCAGAGGTAGTGCCCTGCATGCGTGGCTTGCTGTCTGCTCTGACAGGACTTCTGTGCACACGGCTCTGGGTTTGGGGTGGACTGCTGCGGTGACCATGTCACTCTTGTGTTTGTTGGGTTTAAGTACACATGTTCCAGTTGTGATAAAGAGTATGATCTTAAATGCTTTTCTAAACATGTGATTCAAATTTTATCTGTAGGTACTGTGTATGATGTAAGTCACTATAATGCTTTACTTAAAGTCTACCTTCAAAACGAACATAAATTTTCACCAACCGACTTCTTGGCAAAAATGGAAGAAGCAAACATTCAACCAAATCGAGTAGGTAGTTGCTGTTGAAATGTTTGGTGGTCATATTCATTATTTTTTATTTTTTACTCAGAAACATTAAAAACACATTAACTGGCCCATTTCATTGACAGGTAACATACCAAAGATTGATTGCTGCTTACTGTAATATGGGAGATATTGAAGGTGCCAGGTAGGGAACTCCACAAAAGTATGTACAAGCAAACATATATGTCTTGTGATCCTAGAGAGATTCACTCTCTCTTTTATTGAGTCTCTTCTTAGTAAGGGAAATTATTTCAGAAGTATTTTAATCTAGCATATTTGGTAATATGACTTATGTACAATATAAAGTTTTGTAAGAGGTGACAGATAAGTAAAACTTGGTATTTTAATTAAAAATGTGATTTATTGAAGCAGAAGTTTAAAATTATTGAGATATAAAGCTGGCTTTATTTTATTTAAATTGACATTTTTTAAAGTAAATGTTGTTAGCCATTTAAACTGCATTCATTTATAAAACTGTCTCACTGACTCATCCAAAATCAGTTGTGACATTTCTGTGCTTGTGTAAAATTTATTACTACTTTTGGTTAGGGGGTTTAGGAAATAAGGCATAAATGGAAATGTATAATCCCATTTTTAACTCAGTGAATCTTATTAAATTTTATGCTTTTTAAATGTTAATTTAGTGGTATAGAAGAAACAGTCAGATTTTTAAAAATTACATACTATTTTTAACAAGAGTACTTCAGGAGTATTGTTAAACCAAGGAATGGGGGTTTGTGTGTACATGTTATAGAGAGTGTTTTTGACGTTAATTCCAAGGAGTATTTTCGTTTCTTTTTTATTGCAGCAAGATTCTTGGATTTATGAAAACCAAGGACCTTCCGGTCACAGAGGCTGTTTTCAGTGCCCTTGTCACAGGGCATGCGAGAGCTGGGTAATGTTCGCCCAAGGTTTTGTTCTCAGACAAGGTTTAAATTGCAGGAAAAAAAAATGCAGAAAAAAAAAATTCTGCAATTTAAATTCTGCAAAAAAAAAAAAATACTGCAGAATATTCTTAAACCATGTTTACCTACCCCCTCAAAAAAATCTTGAGCATGTGAAATAGAACCTGCATGTTTTAAAAATACCATATTCTTAACTTTATCAGTTTCATAAAACTTTTATTTGAAAATGTTTAGTTTTGAAAATTGGGCCTGATAAAAATAACTGACTAAAATTTATTAACTGATCTGCTGGTGACCTGAAAAATATTTTTTGTTTTGAAGAATAACTTACTAAATGTTATTCACTAAGAAGGTAAATTTGAGTCATAACATACCTAGTGAAAGAATGCACACCATTGAATGTATATGTAATTATGATATAATTTGGTTTCTCTTTTGGAAAAGTTACCTGTAAAAATTTGAGATGTTTATGATCTTTATTATTTCAGAAACTTATAACCAGTTTAATAATATCTTTTTTGTTTCTGACGTTACCATGTTTCTCAATGGTACTTAAGAATTTTTTATTTTAATAAGCACAGGTAATAACAGTTTAGATTGAATGATAATTTTACATTGACAGTATTATAGTAACCTGTTTTATTTTCCTTGAATTAACTTACAGAGATATGGAGAATGCAGAGAATATTCTCACAGTGATGAAAGAGGCTGGGATTGAGCCTGGTCCAGACACATATCTAGCCTTATTGAATGCATATGCTGAGAAGGGTGACATTGACCATGTTAAACAGGTGTGACTTGTGTTGTATAAATAAACATACTTTAAAATCACTTGTATAAGCTTATGTTTTGCATGAAGCAGAAGAATATATCTGCTTTTAAAGATATCTCTTATGACAATAGTATTGCTAAGAGAATTCCTAGAGTTTGGTATCTTGGTTGTTAACATAACAGCATTGACGTAGAATATTTCTGTTTTATAAAAGAAGTCCCATCCCTGGCTGGGATGGCTCGTTGGATTGAGCTCAGGCTGTGAACCGAAGGTTCCGCTGCTCAGTTCCCAGTCAGGGCACATGCCTGAGTTGCAGGCCAGGTCCCCAGTGGGGACCATGTGAGAGGCAACCACACACTGATGTTTTTCTCCCTCTCTTTCTCCTTCCCTTCCCCTCTCTAAAAATAAATAAATAAAATATTAAAAAAAAAAAACACAAAGAAGAAGAAGTCCCAAATCTTTAGATGATATATGTTCCTAAGTTTTAAAACAAAATGTTGGTGTTTTAATACTGGTTTCTAACTTGTATTTCTAATTTCTGGAATTGTCTATAGACCCTGGAGAAGGTGGAGAAGTCTGATCTTTACCTTATGGATCGTGATTTATTGCAAATTATATTCAGCTTCAGTAAAGCTGGATATCCTCAATATGTCTCAGAAATTTTGGACAAAATTACATATGAAAGAAGATATATTCCAGGTAGTTTAAAATTTTTTACTTTCATGATTTTTCTGATAAACTGAATTACTATTTTTACATGATGAATACAGCATTCTCTAACAATAGGGGTTGTGGTAGATGAACATAAAACTCTTAAAGGCAGCTTAATAAACTGAAAAACTTGTGTTAATGAATACATGGGAATGTTTTGATTTGGAAGTGCTTCATTGTTATTCAGAATATTATTGTATCCTTTTGGTGTTTGTAGTTCATAAGTTTGTCTTTCTTATTGGTTGCAATGTGAAAATATTATTCAGTTGGTAACAAAAGACATCTTTGTTTTCTTCCCAGATGCAATGAACCTTATTTTGCTTTTAGTCACTGAAAAATTGGAAGATACAGCATTTCAAGTTTTATTAGCATGTCCTGTATCAAAGGAAGATGGTCTGAGCGACTTTGGCAGTTTCTTTTTACGGCACTGTGTGACTATGAATACGGTATTCTGTCCATTTTTACCTTGTAGACAGTGTAATAGGTAGTGAAATAAGATTTTTTTTAATCCTCTCCTGACGATATGTTACTGATGTTAAAGAGAGAAGAAGGGAGGGGGTGAGGGGAGAAAGAGACAGAAAGACAGATAGACTTTGATGTGAAAGAGAAACATCAATCGGTTGATTCTAGTAGGTGCCCCAACCAAGACTCAAACCCACAGCCTAGGTATGTGCCCTGACTAGGAATCAAACCTGCAGCCTTTTGGTGTATGGGATAATGTTCCAACCAACTTGAGTAATCCAGCCAGTGCAAAATAAATTTTTTTAAAGTATAAGAACCTATTAATGAGATTATTAGAGCAATTATAATGAAAACTTTGTTTTTGTGTCATAAGATGATTGGGTAGAAGAGGATGGGAAGTTCAGATTTTTTAACCCAATAGTGTTAGAATATTTGCAGAAGATGAAAGGGTAGGAGGATATTTGTAGATCTAGCTGATGTGTCCTTTTTATCTCTTCCCTAGCCTACAGAGAAGCTGAAAGACTACTGCAAGAAGTTGAAGGAAGCCCAGTTGCACACATCTCCTCTGCAGTTCACACTCCATTGTGCTTTAGCCGGCAGTAAAACCGGTACTACACTCTCATAATTAAAAACAACATAAGTTTTTTGTGAGGTAGCTTTGTAATATTTCATGATATCTCTTTCAGATTTGGCAAAAGCTCTGATGAAGGCTCTGAAGGAAGAAGGTTTTCCTATCAGAACTCATTATTTCTGGCCCTTGCTAGCTGGACATCAGAAGCAGAAAAATGTTCAAGGTTAGGTTTTGCCTTTTACTGATTTGTGATGGTTCAGAGATCTGGTGTACCAGTTTCTACACACATTTAATTGAATTCTTTGGGAAAGTATGCTTATTCCTGAGTATCAAATCTTCTGAGAAAATAAGAGTTGATTTAAATTATGGTAAAGTATTATGTAAGCTTTTTAAAAATGTAAGTGTAATGGACTTCTTTCATCTTAATTACATTAATTTTATTTCTTAATTCACCGCTGATCTTGATATTCAAACTTGTGAATGTAGTTTTAAATAGTTCATTTTTTTAATGGTTTCCTAGAGGTCTATAGTTTAAGATTTTACATATAGCACTTGAAATTAGTTAGCCTAGTCTTATTAAAAGTAAAGTTACGCATAATCTGGCTGTTTTCCTGATGGACCAGTCTGTTTCTCCTTAACTGAGCCGACTTACAACAATAGGAAAGAGAGAGAAACTTTTACTGCGAAATGAGTGCTCATGACCTGACAGCCTGCTGATTGAAGGACAGAAGTGCTCACTCTTTCAGGTTCTTAAGTACGTTTAAGCATTTAGCATACTTTTCCCTTGTACACATGGGATGTCTATAGGATATGAATAAGAAATGAACAAATATTAAATTTTAGAGTACAGTATCTAATTCTTTGGTTTGCATTATTGGTAATTCAGAAAGACTAGTATCATAAAAAGATGCTTTTAACAGAAGTACTTCCCCCTTGGGGAAACAAAAAATGGTCTTTTTCATTTTATGTCGAAGTATAATGTGCTTTAGAATGAGATGCAGAGTTGTTAGTATGACACTGGGTGACAAACAGAATGCACAAACAACAAAAAAAGTGCTTTTAGCAGACTTTCATATTGCAATTTTATTTTAAATATATAGCTGTCTTCTGGCTTAAAGGAAATAGTGAAAGAAGTATTCCCTAATTGTTTCTGGCTATAAAAGTCTCTAAACCCTTTTTAGAGAAATCTTTGGAAAACAATATGCCAGTTGATTAACTCTTTGCATATCCTCCAGTGCTGAAAGCTTGAAGAAGTAACCTTTAAACTATATTCTTGAGCCCCAGAAAGTTTACATCATTCCATGAAAATATTTGGGTATTTTAGTATTGTCCACCTTTACACAGATACGAATATAGTTTTGGGGACCCCTGTTTACATGTTTGTTTCTCTGTGAGGTAAATTTGCTTTCCTCAACCTCAGCACTGTGTCTAGAGTTGAATCGGTTACCACATTTTATCTACTTACTACACACAAAAGAATTCGTGTGATTTTTTTTCTATCGTTGTAGCTCAAACTGGTAGAAAAGTGGCTTTATCTTGAATCTGTCTTTTCTTAGAATGTTAGAATTCAGATTTCGAGATGCCTTGTTGAAAACTCACTTTATATTGATGAAGGAACTGAGAGCTGCAGAGGGTAGTGACTGACTTTAAATTCCATATCTAGCTGTCAGTAGTGCTAGGATTAGATGTGAGGATCTCTGTCCTCCTCTTTTAAATACTGTTTTCTAATACCATAACACCCTCATACTAGACATTTGCAAGTATTATGCTGAATTTATTGTATGAAAAAATTTTAGCTGTTTGTTAAAAATTAGGTACTGATTTTTGCATTAGGGACATTTAACAAAGTGTTACCAATTTTTTTAGTCAATGAAAGTTTAAAAAAAATTAATTTATCTTCCAGCTACATTTGGCATGTAATATTGTATTAGTTTCAGGTGTACAACGTAGCGTTTAGACATTTACATATCTTAAGAAGTGATCGTATCACCAAATCCAGTACCCACCTGACTCCATGTGTATTTATTACAGTGTTACTGACTGTGTCCCCTGTGCTGTACTTTACGTCCCTTGACTATTTTTAAATCCTCAATTTGTACTTCTTAATCCTGTTCATCTTTTTCACCCATTCCCCCAACTTCTCCCCAGAATCAATGAAGGTTTTATTTGGAAAAATAGAAGAGCTGAGAAAGATAGCTTGAGAGTATATTGTCGATTGTTTTACAATTTTTAAAAACTAGTCTTCTTTGCAGGAGGTCCAGAGATACAGCAAAGTAGTAATCTTCCTTCATGTAACAGGGAAATGTCTGTATGTATTTTATATAGTTTCTCGAGTGTAAGGTAAGCAAGTAATGTTTTTATTAATGCAGTGAACTCGTTCTTTGTCCAGGAAAAGTCACATATAAACTGGTAGAGATAACAGAATAAAATAATGGCTGCAGTGATAAAGGATGTGGTGGAGTGTTTCCTATGAAGTAACTAAAACCCTTCAGGATATCAAATGAAGGTATTTAGTGGTCAGATCAAACTGAACCAAGAGTTTTCAACAATAGGCTGATCAAATTTTTATTGAATCCTAGAATTCTTCTGGCTGCAAATTTAACCATCACCAACTGGTGAGAAGACTCTTATAATGACTTCCTCGTGGCTTACCTTACTAGTTTACTTCTCTGGGGCACAAATAGAAAAGTCACCACTTAGAATTTTAGCAAGTTGGCCTGAATGAGAGGAAATTACCCAGAATAACTGAGGATCTATCTACATCTCTGGAATATTCAGACAACATAAAAATAAGAATATAGGAAGGGTCAATATGAAAGCCTAAATGGTAGTTGAAGTGTTTGAGCCTAAATGAAGTGTTTGAACAGAGAATGCTTTTTGAAAAGTAAGAAATTGGCTTCTAATAAAGTGAGTGCTCTTATTAGAGTCTAAAATTATGTAGCATAAATGCTCATAGTTGGTGAAAGTTGCTCAGTTAAAATCATAACATCTTTCCCAAAAGTTTGAATTATTTCAATTCTTATAAAATTTTTGAATGGATACTTTTCTGTAAATTCCTAAAACTGCTTATGACTGCATTTGAAATATTTTTATTAGGTTATTTAGCCTTAATTTAGAATTTTTAAGTTTCAAGAGATTCGGGATCCCTGTATATCTAAGTTAATATATGATTATTTTAATCCTTTTTTAAATATGAATTTTATTTTTTAGGAGGATGTATGTAGGTATGTCAGATCAGTCACCCTTTTTCTTATTGATATGTTTCTCTCTTCTCATCTGCTATATTACTACTTTTTAAATATTTTTAAAATTTATTTTATTTTTTATTGTTGTTCAAGTACAGTTTTCTGCCCTTTTTTCCCCCACCCTAGCCCAACACCCCAGCCCTCCCCCACCTCCCTCCCCTGTGTCCACCCCCCCTCCCCCGCCTTGTTATTGTCCATGTGTCCTTTATAATAGTTCCTGCAAACCATTCACCCTTTTCCCCTATAATCCCCTCCCCTAACCCCTCTGGTCACTGTCAGCCTGTTCTCAATTTCAGTGTCTTTAGTTATATTTTGCTTGCATGTTCATTTTGTTGATTATTTTCCTGTTAAAGGTGAGATCATATGGTATTTGCCTTTCACCGCCTGGCTTATTTTGCTTAGCATAATGCTCTCCAATTCCATCCATGCTATAGCAAAGTGTAGGAGCTCCTTCTTTCCTTGTGCTGCATAGAATTCCATTGTGTAAATGTACCATAGTTTTTTGATCCACTCATTTACTGATGGGCATTTAAGTTGCTTCCAGCACTTGGCTATTGTAAATTATGCTGCTATGAACATTAGGGTGCATAGGTTCTTTTGGATTGGTGTTTAAAATTTATTTTTAGAGAGAGGGAAAGGGAGGGAGAGAGGGTGAGAAACATGAATGTGAAAGGGAAACATTGATTGGTTGCCTCTTACGCGACCTGACTGGGGACTGAACTTACAACCCACGCACGTGCCCTGACCAGGAATTGAACCAGTGACCTTTTGCTTTGCAGGTTGATGCCCAACCTACTGATCCATGCTAATCAGGGCCCATTTGACGATATTAGTGAAGTAAATGTCTTTGGTATGATCCCTCAGTATGGCTGAGGGAGTGACTGAACTTATCTGAGGGAAGGTGTGAACCAGATTTTCTTAAATGTGCTTTAGTTTCAGTTAAAAAAAAATATGTAAGTTGTAAATGCTAGTAACACAGATCATCTAAGTAAGCAGAATATACTCCTCCCCTGATAAACATTGTTGGAAAAATGAAGAATTAAGAGAATAAAAAGTATTTGATGCATATGTGATTGGGTGAAGTGTTTTATACAAAAATGAGAATTATCAATTTATTGGCCATTTTCAGACATTAGGAAATTGAATATATAGTTACCTATGCTGCATTTATTCTACATATTTAAGGAAAAATTTTAAATTGTTAGAGTATTTTAAAACAGGTAAAAAAATTAATCATTATAGTTACTATTAACATTTATTTAATAGTTTTAGGATTTCACACATTTTTTTCTTTAATTTTTATGACTGCCCTGAGAGGTAAGTAGGGAGGTTTATTATCATCATTTCTATATTACAGAATTTTTCTTATTTCCTAGTTCTGTTGCTTTATTGTTTTTTTAGACAAAATGCTGAGTACTCTTCATTATGATTCAGAAAGCAAATGATCTAAACTTTCTGATCTTTTGTTAATTTATTCCAAATTCTTCATCTCTGTGCCTTTAAATTTTATCTTACAGGTATAGTGGAAGTCCTCAAAGGAATGCATGAAATGGGAGTAAACCCTAACCAGGAGACATACATAAATTATGTGTTTCCATCCTTTGATAGTGTAAAGTCAGCTCGTGCTGTTTTGCAGGTGAGTACAAATAGGTTTTAATTTTGTACTTGAAGAGAATATTTTTCCTCCCTGATGTTTTGCGTAACCAAAAAGAAAAGAAAAAGTCCTAAGCTGAGCACTAAAGATGGTCATGTTTGTATACAATTTTCTAAAGTTTAGTAAAAATACTGGTTAGTATAAAATCTGTAGTGGTTAAACTTGAAAAAACCTTGAAAGTAAAGCAGCATTTTTGTGTGTTGAAAGACAGCATGCTAATACCAGAAAATATTAAATAAGACAGTATTTGCTCTTTAATCCTACTCTACAGTGCAGCTGTAATTCTCACTTTGTGAATATTGCTTTCCACTTCTATGTGAATTTTCATAATACACTCAGTGTATTTACTATTCTGTTTTTTTAATTAATCTTTTTTTAAACTTTTTACTCTAAACCATTATTTTCCTACCCCATACTTCTGTCCCCATGAGAATGAGGAAGGCATTTGTGAAGGAGCGCATGGAGAAATTGACTTGGTACAAAATACACTGGATCAGCAAGGGCTGCACTTCCTGCTCTCTGCATTTTCAGAACTGTGCTGTATGCAATTAGGAGTGACATGAAAGAGCACCAGATACTTTAATGAGAAATACTGTGTTCAAAATGTGTTTTTTACATGCTTAGTCTTAGTCACATAATGCCTTGACTTTTCTGCTATGAGATTGTTTTCTTTTTTTTTGAAATAATTACGTAATTACAACCCTCTGAAATGTAGAATTTATGTCTTGTCTTTACCTCTCTTCCCTGAGAACCATATTCTGCTGTGTATACTGTACACTTTTTGCCCAGAATTTTGAGGGAAAAATAAGGGTGAGCATGATACATGGGTATAAGGATTACATAATCCCATGTAATGCACAGAAAAACATGGGTGTATATTACACACAGCACATTATACATGGCAAAATACGGTAATTAGCAGAGTATTTTGAGCCTGTGCTATACATAATTTACTGTTAAAAAATATATTGAAAAGGTAATTTCCCACATATTCTTATCTCTCTAAGTCTTTTTTTCACATGGCACTTTCCCATTACAGTCATTCCAGGATGTAACTCCAATTATTTTTTGATGTTTGCGTGTTGTTTTATTGTGTGGATATACCATAATTTATTTTTATTCCTTGCTTATTATTACTGAGTAGTTATTAATATTGTGCTCTTATACGGTGACCCAGTAAATGTGTTTGAGCTCATTTTAGGGTCATGTACTTAAATTTTTAAACAAATGATGCTGTTGGCAATAGTGATTAACCATTTGGAGAGAAACTAAATTCGACTTTTACCTTACTGTATGCCCCACAATGTCATTTTAGATCAGTGCATTCATTTTTCTCTTGTTTTAAATTAGAGAATTATTCTAGTTCATCAATACTAATTTCTTTCTAGAAGGAAGGCACTATAAGGGTAATAAATTATCTGAATTTGAAGATAAGCATTTAATTTGAAATGTTAGAGCCCGTGCTAAAGTTCAGTTATTCAGTTTACATATTGTTCTAGAAAATGAAGGATTATCAGAATATGGTAATATAAAGAAATGGGAAAACAGGACATTTGAATAGCATATTGAAATGTTTTTAGCTGAGGCATGTTATTGAAATGTGCTTTTCCCCCAGGAAAATGGATGTCTACTTGAAAGCAATGTGTTTTCTCAAGCTGAATTGAAAAGTGAAGCAGTAAATGGAAACTTGGACCATGTTTTATCATTTTGTAAGTATGCAGCACTGGCAGTGAACTTGATAGGACTGATTTCAGTTACTATTGAAAGCATACAGGGTAATTCATGGCCTTATTGCCTACCTCAGTGTAGTTCAAGGTAACTTCCTTGAAAGCAAGTTTATAAATGTCTTTTTTAAGTCAGACTGATAAGACAGTTTATGATTTGAACTTGTGGATAATTCGGATGTAGTTTGAAAGTGAAAGGACCTTGGAGATAACATGGTGATAGGTAAGACTGGGGACCCAGAAGACTTGGGTTTTGTTTACAATTAAGCCACTGATTATTGGATAGTATCTATTAATTTACCTTGTGGAAGTTGTGAAAATCGTGAGATACTGTTTCTGGAAGTGTTTTCTAAACTAACTCCTGCTTTAGCTATAAGTTACATAAAGCCAGTGCTTATTAACAAAAACACAGTGAATTTTTACTAAATACTTTTAAATTCAAAGGTGTTTTACAGTGTTCATCACATGTTGATAAAATTGCCTCCATTGATAGATGAAGAAAGGCATAGTGAAGTTACGTGATTTGCCCAGAGTTAATGATTTAACTAGAACCAAGACTTTGTAATTTTAACTTCATGCTTTTCACCATACTGCATTTTAATAAATAGGACATTTCTTAAGATCTTCATTTTGGGGCATTTTTATGATCAGATCATGTGGAAAAGATATCATTTAAAAACAAAACACAAAGTTCAGTTTCTAACCCCTGAAATATTAAAAGTTAAGTTCTAATTAATGGATATTCAATTTTATGGGTGGAAGTTTTGTAAAATCCAGATTATTGGTGTATATTACCTTTGTATTTGTTATTTAAAAGAGTTCATAGTATTGTAAGGAAAAGGCAAAATATTCAGCGTAAAGAGTGGGGACTGTTGGAGGTGCAGTTATTTGAGTTGAATGTTATGTATTAATGCCGGCTGCTGAGTGTATTGATTTTGCCTCCCACTCTGTACGATGTACAGATTTTCCGTCTGACACGACGGAAACAGCAGCATTAGCAGAGGAGTCTGGGTACACAGGACGCACACATGAGAGCTGCCATCCTCGTTATCATGCCACCCTTTCCACTTCATTGTCAGCTTCCTGGTTTTTCAGGCTTGTTTGTTGCTAAGGAAACTAGATGCTTTTTGTCAGCATCCTTCAACTTGCTGGGATGTTTCTGGTCCCTTTTTTAATGAATAAAATGTGACAATATTCTGTAAAATACTAATTTGAATAGTATAAAAATAAATTTCCAGAGATTGCTTATTATTTTTGAAAAAACAATTTCAGGAGCTTTAAGACTAGAGTATTTCAGTTCGCTCATCAGTGCCTCCCTTCCCCTTTTGATTTAGAGGTGTTTGGAGAGCTGTTGGTTCTGTAATTGCCGGTATTCGCTATAGGTAGCTCCTGGGTCTGCACTTTTTGGTTACCACATCACAGGGAATGGCAGGTGGTAGACAAGAGAGTTTGTGGAGTAGTAGGAAATATTCCCCCATTTGTGTTTGGAGGCATGAAAAATTAATTTGATCGGGTAAATTAAAGGTTGCTGAAAGACATTTACTTTAATTCCTTGAGTGATGAAATACAGGTCATTTTTTAAGTGATTTAGATTTTCAAATGCAGTATAAAACCCTGAGGCTTGGGCTACCTGTTTGAGGGATGTAACAGGTGATATAAAACAATTCTCCTTATGTGTGGGCTAAATTTTTATTCATACTTAGGGGAGATGAGCAAATATTAAAATCTAATGTAACTTTTCCCATGAGTTTTTTTTTCAATCAACCTAGTATCTTAATCTTTATCTAAACTATATTTATTGTCTTCAGAATTCACTTCCACTTAGAGTTCCTCTACAATTCAACCCATCTTATATTATTCAGTAGCTAAATTGCACGTATACAGAAAAGAATAAATCAATTACTTAATAACGTGGCACAGTGACAGGGAAAATACAGTGTCAGAGAAAACAGATTCAGGAGATGCTTACTGTGATTCCATCCCTTGCTAGTTAAGGTCTGATTCTAATACTAAGGCTGGTTGGACTTACGATATCAGCAGTGAAATACGCAAAGCGGTAGAATGTTCAGTGATAAAACGAGTAGTAGAGCAAACAGATGCTCAGAAAAGTGAAAGATCAGTATAAATCAGTTACATAAGAGAGGTAAAGACCTATTTTATTATGACTTTAGGTTGTCACTCGTACATGCATGCTTTTCACTGATCATAGTGGAAAACAGGATGAGAAAGTGTGAGTGGTTTTAACAGAACCCACGCCAGCCCCCAGAAGAGAATGTTCTCCTCGTCTGCTGTCTTTAAAGGCAGCGGCACCACAGCATAGTCACAGGCTCTCCGTTGGCAGGGCCGCGCTGTGCATCAGTACACAGCCTTGGCGTGTGTGCCAGGCTGCCTCCCAGCATGCTGGTAGGTTAGTTAGGGTCATTTATGTGAAAGAATATCTGTAAATTCGTTAGTTGTACGTATTCATGAAAACAAAGTGTTTTCAGAGGATAGTTTACACTGCAAATATATATTACCACGTTATCTAGTTAATTTTATATGAAAGCATTTCCGTTTTAAGGATAAAAATTTTAGAATGAGAATGAAAAGGTATTGGTATAAATGTGTTTCCAAATAAGATGATAATTTAAGTTTTTGTTTTTGGGCTGAGATTTAACAATGACTGTTTTCTTTTGCAGTGGAATCAAATACATTGCCTTTCTCGTTGACTTCTTTGCGAGGCAGCCTAATTCTAGGCTTTAGGAGGTAAGATGATCACCTCATATAAGGTGCTTTACCTGAATGTGGTCTGATTTCCCCTGTCTTTGTTATCTACTGTATGAGGAAAGACAGACAGATATTCTTCCAAATCTTCCAGTGTACTAGTTACCTGAAATAATCTTAATCTGCTTTTTATTCTTCCTACTAAGTAGTTGAATTGAGTTCAAGCAGCCTTTTATATCATCTTTTCCAAGAAATACACACAATTTGGTGATGGTCTTGTTTTAAAGAAGAAAGCACTGTTTGAAAATGGAGAGTTGGAGTTAAAGGGAATTGACGTGTATGTTTGATTTATACTTTGATTATTTAATTACAAGGTGACTCTTATTCAGTGTAATACTACTCTCCTCTGCACTAAGAGAATGTTAATGACCTTTTCCTTCCACTTTTGTTATTTTGAATACATTTAAACATAAAGAAAAGTTGCAAGAATAGTAAAGGAGACATCCACATTCCTTTTATATACATTTACCATTTGTTGATATTTTGCAACATTTACTTGCTTTCTTATGTACTCTTTCTCTACTATATAATTCTATATAGATAGGTATAGATATATGTATGCACATACAGTGTGGGGCAAAAGTCAGTTTACAGTTGTTCATATGGAAAATAATACAGCATATTTACAAGAATAAACTGTGTTTCATGTACTTATATCCATATACCTACTTTAGCCCAACTTTGTTTATATATACACTTTTTCTTTTCTTTTTTTCCTTTTTTTTTCCTGAACCACTTGAAGTTGTAGACATCATGATACTGATGAAGCCAGATCCTTCAGCTTATGTCTCCTAAGAATAAGGTCATCTGTATAATCACAATAGCAGTATCACTCCTAAAAAGTTAATAATACTATAATATCACCATATTTAGATTGCCCCAGTTCTAAAAAGTTGTTTTATAGCTGTTTTACTTTTTGATTGAGGATCCAGTTAGGATCATGCATTGCATTTGATTGATGTCTATATTCTCTTAAATCAAGAGCAATTCCCTTAACTTTTTTGTCTTTTATGACAGTGGCTTTTTTTTTTTGAAGAGTCCAGGGTACTTTATCTGTAGAATTCCCTCCTACATTTTTATTTGTCTGATTTCTTTTCTTGTGATCAGATTTGGAATGAACATTTTAGCAAGAATACTTTTTAGGTGATAAGTATTTGTTACTGCATCAAGAGATATTGATGTCAGGTGCCAAGTTTCGGTGCCATCAGCTAAGTTTGATCACTTGGTTATGGTGGTGTTTCCCATGTGCCTCCCCCGCAAAGGAACCTTACTTACCCGCTTGGTAGTCAGTAGGATGTCTGTGGGGTGAGACAGTGTGTCTGTCATGGTTCCTGGTACCTTTCACTCAGGGTTTTAGCCAAGACTAGCAATGCTTGTAGAATCAATTGTTAACAGTGTTGTTTGTGAAGTGGCGAGTTTCTAATTTTATCATTCTTCTGCATTTATAATGTTAATGACTTTGACTTCTGATATCAACTCAGTGATTTTTAGTCTGCTCGTTGGTTGGAGGGCTAGAATTTTCGGTAGACACCTTGGAATCACCGATGCAGACGAGAAGAGGTAGGACAAGTAGGGGGTTCTGTGTTGCTGCCCTTTCTTTAGTAGGTGTGGTTCTGCTGTTTTCGGTGATGGGTTTATGTAAATTGAAACCAAACAAACAAACAAAACCAAGGGTCTTTGTCTTTAAAAATAAAGTTTGGAAAATACAGAATACATAATCAACTGGATAGACATACTAGTAGAGCCAGATTTTAAAAAAGAACCCAGAATGCATTATGAAGTGAAATATAGTAACTTTTTCCTATAGTTATTCTTGGAAAAAAGATTGGGGACTGTTTTTTGTATAAACTTCCAGGTGGTGGGTATTTCCTTCTTTAATTTCACTAATGTTATATTTTCTTAGTTTGAATGTCAGTTATATTTCACAAAACCTAGATGTAGACAAAGTATGTGGACTATAAAGTTGATCCAATATGGTGGAAAAAAACTAATTGTATGTTCTGACATATACTCAAGTCAGTCATTAAGCTTTTAGCGGCTTCATTGATTAAAGTATGCAGAGCTGCCTGCCCCTCTAGTATATGTGTCTGGTTGCTGTATTACCTCTGTTTCTGCTTTTACTTTTGTGCCCTCATCTTTGCTGTCAAATTTTTTTGCTGTTACTTGTAACAACTTTCAGTGTTTATCTTAAGTAACCTATATACACATAAATAATCTGTTTAATTTTTTTAAAGATTTTACTTATTTATTTTTAGACAGAGGGGAAGGGAGGGAGAAAGAGGGAGAGAAACATCAATGTGTGGTTGCCCCCCATGCACCCCCTCCACCAGGGACCCAGCCTGCAACACAGGCATGTGCCTCGATGGGGAATTGAACCGGTGACCACCCACCTGCTTTGCAGGCTGACAAACTAGGTAACCGAAGTCATGTTTGTTTGGTTTATTGCACTACCTTCAGTGTGTAGATTAATACCTGGCACGTGACCAGTACTATTGGATTAATTACTGAGGCCTTATTTTCTACCTCTGTTTTTAGGCATGCTCTTTAACTCAGCAAGTATTTATTGTTGAGACTGGAGATGTTGGTTGGGATCAGATTGTGAAATATTTAAAAAAATAGCGTAAAGGAACTTGGTCTTTATTTGAAGAAAGTAGACTAACTTGTCTGATGTGAAGGCTTGGCAGAGACAGAGCTGCATTTGGAATGTATTTTAATTTCAGGCATATTTTTTTCATTTCTAGAAATTCAACTTGGATTTTTGGAAATATCTTCTATGTCTCCTTGATATGCTCATGCTTTTTTCTTCCTTCTCAACTATTTGAAGATATTAATAATAGATGTTTTGATGTCCTTGTTTACTAATTCCATCATCTGCATCGTTTCTGGGTTTGTTTATAGTTCATTTTTTTTCCTCATTATGTGTCATATGTTTCTGTTTCTTTGTAATTTCTGTTTGGATGCCAGGTATGGATTTTATGCTGGTGGATCTGAATTTTTTTTTTTGGTATTTCTTTAAATATTTTTGAACTTTGTTCTGAGACAGTCTTGAGATAATTTACTTGGAACGTTTTTTTTAGTGTTTGCTTTAAGGCGGTACTAGGCAGGACTGGAACAGCCTTTACTGTGTGGTTGTTCGCATTAAATTAGTTTGGCTCTGGTATTGAGGGTGAGTTCTCTACCTGCCAGCTCCCAGGTATTTGGAAATTGTTGGGAACGTGAACTGTTCGTATCTCTGTGGAAGTTCTAGGAATTGTCTTTTTCAGACCCTCTGAAAAGATCTCAGGTAGTTTCCTCGGCTTCAGCGTGTTTTCTCAATCATGCGTGCTTTCCAGTGGTTGGTTAGAGACCGAGGGCAACTCTCCAAAGCTCCCCGAGCTCCCTTTGTTAAGCTCTCTCCTCTGGTACTCTGCCCTGTAAAAATCAGTTTTAACTAGTCTGTTCCAAAAAGTATTTTAAGTCTGTAGGTTCCAAAACTAGATTATACTGGTGAATTTTTTAAATTGTAGACTTAGAAAAATTTCAGGCTGTGGTAATTTGCCATTATCCATAAAAATATGTGCATAATTCAAAGCGTTTGTTACTGGTTCTGATTTCTTTCTTTTCCTCTCTCCCCCAAAACTACCAAAAATACAAAACATAATCCATGTCATTATAATCCATTATCTTGGCGTTAATGTAGCCTTTTGTTTCATCTGATGTTGAATCAAGTAATACATATTTTAACATTCTTTTGTTAGTACACTCAGTACAGCTATTGAAACAGTCACCTATCGTGTGCTTCTCAGGGTGCTGTTATAACTCTAGTACCTTTGGAATTGTCCAAGTGGATAGGAGAAAACTGAGTATTTAATGACATCCCAAGCCAAATTAATTTTCTGCAACTGCTGTAAGGGTTATTGTGTAGGAGGTTGATTTAGTTACTCCTTACCAAAATAATTATTCATAGTTGTCAGAAATGTTAGGAGTTTTAGAATATTAAATGAAATATTATAGTCACAGGAGCTAATCTAAGGGAAACTTGGGTATTAATTTCAATATTGGAATGCAATTTTTGGAATACTTAGTTACATTTAGTATATTCTGCCACCTAGTGGTAGATCCAAAGTGTATGAGACAGTAGTTCCTGGCATGTAGTCTATAACCTATTTTAGCCAAGATTAATTTTTATGCTATCCTAAAATATTTTTGAAAAACCAAATGTTCTTCTGGTCAAGATGGAGGCTTACGTAAATATGCCTTGCCTCCTGTCACAACTACAGAAAAAAAAATTATAACTAGACTATAAAACAAATACTACCCAGATACATCAGAAAGTCGAGCTGTATGGAAATCCAACCACCAAGGATTTAAGGAGGCTACATTCATCTAGATGGGCAGGAGAGGTGGAGTTGCGTGGAAGTGGAGTGGTGCAGAGAGGCACGGAGATGTGGAACGGGTTGTCCCACACCCCCGTGCAGTAGATAAAAATTGGGAGGGATCCCAGCTCTAGACCAGACCACCCAGCCCAGGGTTCCAGCACCAGGAAGTTAAGCCCCCATAACTTCTGACTGTAAAAATCAGTGGGGGGTGGGGCAGCAGAAGAAACTGCGGCATTCACAGGAAACTCCGCTTACAGGCCCTGCAACAGACTTAGCACTTATGCTGATTCACTTCCTCTGGGATTCAGGACCAGGGCAACAGCTGAGCTGGAAGGGCCCCAGTGGCATATGGGGAGAAAGTGAAGTGACTGGCATCAGGGAAAATGCCAGAATTCCTCCTGGGCAAAACTCCAGAGACCAGGCAGTGTAGCATTGTCCCCTCTCTGAACCCTCCCCCACACAGAGCCACAGAACAGGTGACATAGGTTGCCCTGCCCACAGCTCTGCCCCATTCAACTGACAGGTACACTTTTTGACAGCGGGCCATACTACCAAGAGAGGGGGTCAAAGTAGCTCTACCTAATATGCAGAAACAAGGGAGGCTGCCAAAACGAGGAGACAAAG